TAGATACATGAAAATTTCACTGAATGTTTGTATTAGCATTTCCTATACACCATACAATTTTGAAAATATTTTGACTCTTTTTGAGCTGTTTATGGACATTTACAGCTTTCAATTTTTTTTAGTTTTTTTTTCTATAAATATCAATAAAGTTTTATCTGTTGGGCCAAAAGGTGTAAAAATTTAATACAAGGCTCCTGATATATTGTTACAATATCAGTTGAAAAATATTAAAAATACATAGGCACAGTTTTTTTTTATAAGCATTTAAAGATCAAATTTTGACAAAATTTATCAAAATCTCGAAAATAATCAATCATTGTAATTAATAAATTATAAAATGTTCAGTTTTTATAGCTAAGGATTGCAAATTCAACACAAAGGTTCTCGTAAATAGTTCATACTGTAACCAAAAAATCTAAAAAATATATGAACACAGTTTTTTTTTACAGACATTTTAAATTCAAATTTGGACGAAATTACATATTAAAACCAAGAATTACGATTTTAGTTATTTTGTTGTGATTGAATAATATTATTCGTGGGTACTTGAAACTTCTAAAGTGTACTATTATATATCTATGCTAGTATCACGGTTTTTGTTGATGTATAACGCGTTATAAGTATCTAATGGATATTGTGAAATGATTAATTTGGAATTTATTATAGGTGCCTATTATAGGTCAATTTTTTGTTTAATACCATAGATATGTATATAATATGTCTTATACATAGACTGACATACCGTCACCGCTCAGAATCGTTTTTCTTATACAATGATATTAGATCATTGAATTCAAATTTAATACCATCCATTATACAGTGACCCACTTGTAACCTACTGTACAGCAGAGCGACACCCACTTGCCCACCTTTTTACAAGATTGGATATTCACTCGATTTCTTATGTAGTGGTTTTGTTATTTTATTGTTATTCAAAAACGAATAACTTTAGATACATGGACATTTTACTGAATGTTTATATTTTCATTTTTTATACACAATACAATTTTGAAAATATTTTGCATCTTTTTGATCTGTGACATTGTCCGTTTTCAATTTTTTTAGTTTATTTTTCTATAAATATAATTAAAATTTTATTTGTTTTATAAAAAACTTTGAAATTTTAATGCAAGGCTCCTGATATATTGTTACAATAGCAGCGGAAAAATATTAAAATACATAAAAATTATAAAAAAATTTATAAAATGTTCAACTTTTATAGCTATGGATTAAAAATTTAAAACAGGGTAAATAGGTAAATAGGTTATATATAAATTACTTTATTTACAATAATATTATCAAATATACTTGGTAATATCATAGGCTGACTGACCGTATTCAGAATCGTTTTTCTTATACAATGATATTATATCATTGAATTCAAATTTAACACCATCCATTACAGCGACCCACTTGTTACCTACTGTACAGCAGAGCGACACCCACTTGCCCACCTTTTTTTAAAATGTCGATGCATTTAAATAAAATTCTGAGATACCTAATTAAACTTTATGTACCTACTAAAGATAATAATGTATAATATGAGTGCTTCAATGATTCGAAAACCATAGTTATCAATATTTATTATTTTATATATAATATATATTATATTTTATCCACATTTCATAATTTATAAGAATCGACCTAGTATATTAGGTATATGTATACTAATACTAGACTATATATTATGTTTTATGTCATCACTAATAATAATTAATTAACTCAGAAACTACTTATTTAAATGTTAATTTAGATGTATTAGAATTTTCCAAAAAAATAGCTGCTTTGTTATTTAAATTCAATAAAAACGGTGGTTTTCGTTTGAAAAATTAAGTTAGCATCACCAAAAGATACTTGTTAAATGGTATGCATAATTTAAGTAATTAAGAATGATCTTTAAGTTAGCTAAAAAATTCCAAAAATCATAATTTGGATGCATCATTAATTGGTTAAAGTGTATTTATACAGAGTATCTCAATGCGGTCGTAATACAAACTCCTCTGACTACTGAACTTTATACTTTAAAACTTATATTATAACTATTTTAATATTTAACGGAATTTAATAAATCAACTTTTAAAATATTTACATAAATTAGTACTATAAAGTATAAACATTGGCTATCTCGGGTTTTCAACTATACGCGAAATAACATTTTATACCTTAAATTATAAGTAAACCAAAAAGTATTCAAAACCATTACAAACTCGGCCCTTGGGTTTTGAATACAGATATAGTTCTTGAAATTAGTATATCAATTAGTAAAAAAAAGGGTTTTATGTTCAAGTGATGGTTACTATAATATAATAGCCGTTGGGCGTAAAACTCGGACTTTGTAATAGTGTGGTTAAATCCAGTACATATAATATGGATGGTCGACGCTAGACCCAGCAAGTGCTATTCAATCGAATTATTAACCCTTCTGCACAGCTCCGTTCATCGTCCGCGTTCTGTTATGTTCACTTTTACAAAGGGACCTTTGTGCGACACATAACGTGCAGGTCGGGGCCATCAGACTTAAGCCTTCTACTCTCCTCCTCCTACTACTACTACTTCTGAGTCTTGTATTACTGACTATACTGTCTACTACGTCATACAACAATAAACGCACGATGTTGTATGTATGTCGGTGGTGGTTGGATTAAAAGGGTGGATATTCGCAGGGTTGGCTGAGATATCGTGGAGGAGGGGAGGGGAGGAAATTGAAGTGACGACGACTGTTTGTGAAGTGCGGATGAAGGGTGGGAGAAGTGACGTCCACCGGGGGTGGTTGGTCTTAGACGCACGTATTTGAAACGAGACGTTTATTTGATGCGCCCGATCGTTCCTGCGTTACGTATAATAACCTATAACGACCGTGGGGATTTCAAGACAATACTATATAATATACATAGTAGTACGTCAACGTAACAATGAGAATAGTAACAATGATAATAGTAATAATAATAATAATAATAATAATAATAATAATAATAATAATAATAACAATAATAATAATAAAAAAAAATAATGATAATAATAATAATCATAATCATAATAATCATAATAATAATAATATAGTAATAATCATAATAATAACCGTCAAACAAGGGTTCCGTTGTAAGACGTCTGTCAGCGGTGTACTTACTCAAAGACGATATTATTATAATACGTGCACGCGGAAGACGGCGAAATTCGACCGCCGCCGTGAATTACCATCCGGTAACAACGATATTAGTTTCGTCTCGGACGAACGGATCTTTTGTTGATAATATTATTTGTACCTGCTCGTCGTTACTACTATTAATTATACAAGTATACAGATTACAGTTGACGACGACTGAGGAGAGATCATCATAATAGCGTTTAGTATTTGACCGGATTTCGTAGACATTTCTATGATTGCTAGGCACTATTATTATTGATGACCCTTATTTCTATTGCGTGACGTACACGCCATTTGTTTTGCTTCACTTATTATAGTTATTACTTATCATAATACACCACCCCGATAAGTTTAAACTCAAATAATATCGGGTACATATTCATTGGGTACAACTTGGTTTTAATCAATTGAGATATATTCGAAAATATCCCATAAAAACTTCGATGAACAAAAAATAAAATATCTTTGGAGTTTTTTGATGTGCTCAATATAATAGTATACAATACACAGTACCTACTATTCAAACTATAGTGTATATAAACGCATAATAATAATACTTGGAATGTTTTTAAAATTAAATTATCTTTTACTACTTACTCGTTCTCGTTGCGAAGTTTTAAACCCACAACAATAATAGCTGTAGTCAATTATTATACTGTGTAACGTATTCAATTAATTTATGAAGTCATATTTTAATATTGTTTAAATATATTAATATTCAAGACGATGAAATGGAAAATAATTATGGATGCAAGTTGTTCTGGTGAAGTTAATATTGATTTGCATAGTAATAAGAATACATATCCAATAAGAGAATACATGGAAATTTGAGCAATATTAAATGAATGTATAATACCTATTATCCCCAATGAATCTATTAATTATATTGAGTACATTAATAAACAATATTTGCAATTGCATTGCAAAGTTGCTGCTTTATTTAAATTGGAATATTATTGTTTCACACTTCGTATTTAGTGATTAAATCAATTTTAAACAACAATATTTACGAGTTTACGCCTTCAACTCTGAACTTATTCTGCACTTAGGTACCTATAATACTACATCAGTACAATAAATGTTACAATAATGTATATATTTTGGTTGGTTATTAACACCTGCCCTACTTACAAGTTACCTATGACTATTTATTATGGATTAAATTAATCCCCATCTTTTTTAACTAATTACCAGCTTCTTATCAATTTTATTCTATGATTTCTGTTTTATTTATAAACATGTAGAACTACCTATATTAATTACATTTTTTTTTTGGGGGGGGGGGGGTTGAGGCTTCGACAACTGAGGTCATTGGCATGTGGAACTGTGGGGGAGGGTCACAGTAGGTTTTGAACACGTGTGTGTTTGTTTTGGCAGAATTTTGTAGTGGTCACATATTATAGGTATCTGCCATGCCCGGGTGGGGGATGGTGGATTCATTTATTGTTCTATAAGATTTTATTGATAAATGTCCGTATCTTACGGCTAAAACTTAAAAACATGTTGCAATTTTTTTTAGGTACCTACGTGTTATAATTAACGAATCCCATTGTAATATAATGTATTATCTCATAATTATGTGTTTACCTTAACTTTAAATCAGTGCATATAATACTATGCCACTATATAGTCTATAATATTATGATTCCGATAATTTGCCCTGTTAATGAAAACGGTGTACAACAATTCGATGATAATTTGAAGTATTTGATATCGACGTTTTACAAATTTACTAACGGTATAATATAATTATCTAAACGATTTTTCCAAGCGTTCAAAAGACGCAGTTACATCCAAATACAGACATTTTGTTCTTTAATAATTCTAGTATGATAACTAGAATATTATGACTTACTTTGAAATGTTGGGCTGTGCCGAGGCTGAATTCTTTTGTGTAAAGGTCCTCTACGGTCGTCTTATACTTGGAGCAAAACGAATTGTATAAAAACCGTTTGCAAATTGCACTCTTTCCAACTCCAGCATCACCGAGCACCACCAATCTGGTTCTCTCCGGGTCGGCCATGATAAACCTTATTGATCCGTAAGTCAGACTCAGATTATTTCATTGTCTACCAGACATTATGCACTAGGCTGAAAAATAATAAGGATATAATCAATTATAGGATTTAACTACTAATACAAATAATAAAACACTTATTAATTAAAATTTGACTATATTTTGTTTATTTTGGGATTGATGTAAACAATTATGCTAACGTTATATTCGCATTTTTTTACAAATAAAATAAACATTTGAACTTTTGTCGAAACACTTTTCATGAATATGATCTATAAATAAAATAAATCTGAAGAGGCAAAACTTCTTGTTACATTAATTTTTTTATTCTGAAATGTTAGCAATTATAGTATAAATATTGTAAATTACAATTTTGAAGTTCGTTTTTCTGTATATCAAATTAAATGACCATATCTTTCATTAATTAATTTCAGTTTTTAAAATTATTTTTAAAAATAATCAGTAATTTTTTGAGTAAAAATATGTATTACATTTTTAAGTATGTGTAAAATATTTAAATTTTCATAATAATCGTTGCACATATTATATTCGTATAAGCGATCAAGATGAATGTATACATTTTTTATTTTGATGAATCATTTAAAACAAATTAATAAATCATATTAAATAATACATTTTGATAATATACAAGTGTAAAACCCACTTAAATCATTTAAAATCAACGGGAAATGGCAATACACTAAATAAATATTATGATATTCAAAGTTATCAATTTAATAATAGAAACATTAAAATACAGCTAAATGTAAAATTTATTTATTAACAATAAATTTTAGATTAAAAGTGATAATTAATATGTATTGATTTTACAATGATTTATGTATTGTGTGTGTGTATGTGTGCGTGTGTGTGTGGTGTGCGGTGTGTGACGTGTCCAATCCAACTATTATACATTTATACATGATATTATATTATTATATAGTAGAAAAAAAAATTATTCGATTTTAAACATAGGGGGTTACTGATAAACAATTAAATTAAATTAATACTTCTGTCACAAAATTTAAAATTCCCTATATATTTTTTTAAATATAATTGGGAATAACAAAAAAAAGAAGTAAAGAAAAATGGATTTTTTTTTGAAAAGTTTTTTTGACAAAATTAATTTTGTTGTATGCAGTATTGGCATAAATCAAAAACGAATAATCACAGATACTTGAAATTTTCACCAAACGTTTATATTAGAATTTTGTATAGAATATAACATTTTCAAAATATTTTGACACTTTTGGAGCTATTTATAGACATTTGATATTTGTTATCGTTTTTCAGTTTTTTTTCTATAAAATATGTCAATAATACATTTTTTGATCAGTAAAAACTTTTGGAAATTTAATACAAGGTTTATCGGTTTATTTTTTTTCATCGATTTATCATAAGCTAATTAATTTTGAAAACACAATATTTTTTTTTGAGAGTTTAAAATTAGTATTTTGACACGAAAATCACAAAACTTTTTATTTATGCATTATATAGACCTAAAATGTATAAAATAACTTAATATACTAAAAATTTAGTATACTGTATACTTAACATTTGTCTAATCTGTACATAACAATGATGAATTCCAACTCTTATATTTGTTTTTCTAATAAATACAATAGTTCAGTAATGGAATTATAAATGTATAACTGTTTATGTAATAAAAAAATAAACACGCAATATTTGGATTTCTATTTGTAGCAAAAAAAAAATCCAATATTTCAGACTACAAACACAAGTATATTCAAACAGTATTCAAAAACATAAATCTTTTCTGCCTGCTGTGTTAATCTGTTTGGTAGACAATTGCATTAATTATAATATTGAATGTAATTTAACAATGTAATTATTGTAGTATATTATAATAACATGAATAGCATAATGCACCTAGCTAATATAATCAACGAGGTTGTTAGTTTAAATCAGGTACTTACAACTCACCTATACTGCAGCAGTGGCATTCCATTAAGATCGATTTAATCTCTGCCTAATGTTAAAGTGTACGTGTGGTTAATGGATATTTATTAATTAATTTAATTTCATCACCAGATAAATAGACGTGGGTTGACGTGTAATGCCGAAGAAGTGCCCATTAATTTTTACTAATACGGACCCTGTCAACGTACCTACTATTCTACGTGTATGTCACAGTGATATAGTCAGGCCCATTGACTATTGTATACAGTGTGATTTGAAGATTGATTTCTACTCGTGGGATTTAGCGTGCTACGGAAGTGAAAACGTTTCGATTAGAATTGAAACCCCAAAGTAGGTACATAGTGTTGTTCTTTTATCATTCTTATTTCAAAATTATTTGCCAATCGAACTCGGTTACTATAGGAAGTAAAGGTTTGAAATGAAGACAAAAAACCTTCAACAAGAAACGCCTCTCTTTAATACATGTAATATAATATAGTGTGCACTGCAGTGCAGTACATTGAAGCTTTCATTATGACAAGTCTCCACAATTTCATTTCTTTGTGTCGAACAATAATCTACCGGAAAACAATTCGAGGGATGGAGTTTCTTGACATAGGTACCGAAATTGTTTACCAATTCGAGTACTAACATTTACCACATGATTTCGATGAGAGACGTTTGAAACTTTTGAAACCGGAATTATAAATTAAATCGTGTCGACTTATATAAACACTAATTGTAATTATAATTAGTAATTACATATTATATTCGGATTAGTGTTAAAATTTTGAACAAACGATATGTTTTTTAGGTCAATTTTTAAATAAAATTTCGTTAAAATGAAAAATGAAAAAAAGAGCTCATCATTCGCTTTCAAATGTAAAAATAATAATACAAAGTGGTCATATTTAGGTACTTGTACAAACCGAGAACTCTCTCTGAAGTACATTGAACGTTTTTATTTTCTAAAAAGTGACATATTACACATTTTTGTAACGTAGCCTACATTACGTAGGTAATTGTAATAGAAGGTACCTAGTTATTAGTTTCGTTCAGTTAATAATAATAGTGACATCTAACCATGGAAATTCTTAATAGTAAAAAACATTTTTTTACTATATTTATATAGAAATAATTGGACAGTGTTAATAATAACCCTTAAAAGTAGTTTTTTTTACTTTTTTCAACTTAAATTAAGTTTATTTTTATATTTAGATTTAAAACGAAAGAAAAAAAATACAAAATTAGCCTAGGTAGCTGATAGATATACATGTATAATGAGATAAAAAAATCTATAATAACAGCAATTTTTAGAGTTAGAGTTTTTAAAATCCAATATAGAAACGTTCATTAAATTCAACGAGTAGACATTTTTTTTGAATAAAAAATTTTATGAAGTTAATAATTCATTAAAATAAAATATGTTTCATATTTGTATGAACAAATCGTCAGCAACTATGATGGATAAAATGCATCAATTATTTGCAAAATTAGTTTAAGGTTTTTATATTATTTTGAATTTTTCTATTGGTACCTATAATATACAATGCAATGACAAGTAAACCGTAATTCCAAAGTTGAATAGTCACCGAATCTTTGGCTTATTAAACTACACTCTAAGATGGAAAATTAAAAGCATCTTGATTTTATTTTACAATGATGTATTAAAGTCATCTACTTCAAATATATTTTAATTTTTTTTTGGAGTGCACGCGAAGAATAATTTTACGGTGATATTTACAAAAAGAAACGTTATTATTATTTATTTTTTTTACAAAATGCCTTTTATTTAATAATAAATGGGCCACCCCAAACCTTAACGCTTAATTAACGCGCGTCTGACAGCGATCCTGTAAATTAATAATAATAAAATTATATTTTTCTCAAAACGTCACGTTCAGAGCATAAAAAAGGGTCTGGCCATCATTCTAAGAAGAAATGAGAAGAAAAGCACCGATCTAATCTGTGAAGAACATTGATGATAGGGTTTTCGGGGAAAAAAAGAAAAATTACTGTAACCATCCCTTAAATGAGATCTTTCACGTGGCCCAAATGTCCCAAATAATTCCGTACTTAATTAATTTTAAAATGTATTGAACGAGAATACTTTTGTTAGTAAAATTAAATATTTATTTTAATTACCAAAGTGAATTTTTATAATTTGTTTATTCGTTATTTGTTCGATTTCTTATTTTATAAATTGATTCACTTTGTATTTGTATTTTCAAACATTAAAAATCCTATCAATACTAATTAGAATGATTTATTACAATTTTAAATCCTTGGTTCTGTTTCCAGACTTTAATTGAATTATTAAAGAATAACTTTTTTTTAATCTGTGTATTTTTGATAGTTATGAATACAAAAAAAAAACATATTTTAATAATTTTTGCTTAAAATCAATTCTATCTATATTGTTGGACAAACAATTTTAATCCAGGTTATTATTAAGTGGATACCTATCTTATAGTTAATAGTTTATAGTATTATAACTATTTTCGAAAAAATTAATTTGTTATCATTACGAATTTTGCGATTAATCTATTTTACCATTAAATTGAAGGGTGTTGATTTGTGCAATATTTTAATTTTTATGTCAGGAATGAAAATAATAAAAGATGTTGAACATAATATCTACTACTGTATGAGAAAAAAAGATATCGTAAGGTATATATTGTTATATTATTTTTGTGTGAATAATTGGATAAGCTCAAAAAACAAAAGATATGACCTCGTCACATTGAGGAACGATTAATGAAAAATATTGTAAATGAAAACCAAATAATAATAAATTATTAATCATAATATTATCGATGGTGGATTGAACTATGGGTGAGAAAAGAAATTGAGATAGCGTCGATTTCAATAATTTAATTCGCTGGAAAATTCAATATTTGTTTTTATGGATGAACGTTTAAACCACTTAAATGATGACGCTTATCAAAATCATAAAATTGGTACATTCCTTAATTAAGTATTATCCGGTTCACCTATCCCGGTCATATGTTTTTTTCATTTGCTTCTAACACTGGCGAGCAGACCGGTTGAAAATACCAATTATTATTTTGCCCCAAGATCTCATGCGATAAAGTTTATCAGGATTTCAAGAGTTGGTCCTCAGGTTGTAAACGTGTGGCATTAGAACCCTGGATATCTGGTGGGCCGTGACTCAGGTCACACGATCATTGGCGTTTTTCTGGTCATTCAAGCCAAGACTGAGGTTTTCCGGCGTCGGGATGGTACGTTTTTTAGCGTTGGAGATTCCTGGAATTACGTCACAGAATAAAATATGTCGTACCGTATTTTCTTATCATCTATTATCGTACTCTAAGTTATTCATAAAATTGTTTATATTGCAAATTGTCCTATAATATAATATTATTCTATTATTCCACGCGTGACCGATCGCCACCGGTTATTGAGTAACCACACTACTGCAACATTATCGTGTTCGTTAAATCCACCATCATAATCTTTTTTTTTGTTTTTTCCGGTTTAATCGAGAGCCGGAGAAGGAACTGTTGCTCACATTGCTTCTTCTCCGGCCTCCATCGTTTATTGCACATCAAACAAATTTAAATACAATAACTGCGCCCTTGGACGCGCTCCCACGACCTGGCAGCCCTTCCTTAGCGATTGCTAGTGTAGTATGCGGCTGCCAGGGAAGTGTAGTATACGGCTGCCAGGGAGCACACTATCATAATTTAAAATCATAGTTAAGACGAAACAAATGGCCAGGTATATGGTAAATGTACATCGGTGTGTGACGATCGACGATGTCATAGATTCCATCTGTGCAACGAGACCGGGACAACACCGGATGGATGATGATAGTGCCTGTCCCGATTCTTAACGAATCCTGCGAATTGATAATTATTTTTTTGTCTCACCTTAAAATTAATTATTGAAATAAATAGAAAAACTTTTGTTGCTGTTATGTACCCGTCAACAGTAAAATGTAAAAAAGTCGTACCTAAGGATTTATGAAATTAGTTCTCATGTTGTCCAAATGGATTTCAAATAATTCACATACCGTTTTATGTAATACATTATTAATTAAGGGTATAATGGATTTGTTTTAATAGTTTAATTAAAGTTTTAAACAATAATGAAGTATTTATTTTATAAAAAATATGTGTGCGTCTGTATATTTAATATTATGTGAATACTTTGGAATACAGAATTCAAATAATTAAATTATTAAAGTGTTAAAAATCAGTAGATTATAATTTTATCATCAATAAAACAATTTTAGAGTTTAAATATATAGTATATAGCTACTACATTCAAATTTATTTTTCATTTAAATAATTTTTTTTTGATATGAATTAATAATAAGACATTTAATTTGCATGGTTATTATTACACGCTGTGGGAAAGGCCAAAATGAGGTCTGACAAAAAGTACATATATTATTATTATGTATGTAGGTATTATGGGTGTCAATTATTTCATGAAGAATTGTATTTATTATAATACTGCCTGTTCGATGATAATTAATGATTACATTAGGCTAGGGTAATATTTGTGCAAAAAAAAAAGGTGAACGAAGGACGCTTTTAAGTATCCCACGTTTTGCAAATAAAATATGTTTAACTATGTGAATAGTATTTAAATAGTTATTGGGGTCATTAACAAAGTACTATTTTATGTGGTATTTACAATTTCGAATGGGTTGACCATATAGATATGCCAAACATATAAAAAGGATTGATTGTAGTTTTGAAAACGTTTTAACAATCAGATTGGATTATTTTAAGTTTAAATAAAGTACCTTTAAATTGTAATATTTGTCTTACAATAACATTCTGTGTCTCCTCAGTCCATAATATATTTTATATTTTATATTATATCGTATATTGAAAACCTTAAATACCTAATACCTAATATATTGTTGTATGATGAATATATGGGGATCGGAGATATTTGGAGTGAGTTAATATGATACGTCATTATTTCGAATTTTTTTCCATAATAATTCACACACCTTAGACCAGTATTATATTAGAATAACATTTTCGTCGACTTCACTGGTTTCTCGATGTATAAATACCAGCCAATGATATATTTTACATCACGAATTCACTGTGTTTTATATAATTCAAAATTTGATTGTTAAACAATGTAAACGATAAGTTCGAGTAAAACACAGTGCTTATTTCATAAAATAGGTGTACCCACCAAATATTCGCTTTCATAATTTTATTATTATTAATTATAACTAATAGTGTAGGCACATCCGTAATTTTAATTTAATATAAGTATACAATAACCAGTAAGTATAAAAAACATAGCGAAATAGGCTGAATGCATGCTACTTTTTTTTTTTTCGTCTGAATTAATATTTATGAATTCTCGGCAAAAATATATTACACGCCACAATAAGTTTGTACGCAATTTTTTCCCTACCGATTCAACTTTTTTTGCACGCCGAGGAAAACGATTTCCCGTCGGGATCAGTCATGGTATATGTACCTATATATGCATAATATACAGAGTGAATTATGAAAAAAATAAATATACACGTATATACCTACCTACCTATAATAATATAATAAAAACAGCAGTAATAATTACAATATTTTTACCGCGGTTCATTCAAATATCATTATAAACCATAATAATTATCGTATTACATACAATGAACTTGCATACAATGCGTATAATATTATCATTGTATTATACGCACGGTCGTTTATCGGCCTGTACAATCGTAACGATTGTTGTAATAATAATATGTCAGTAATTTTCCAACGATGACCGTGGTGGGTGTACGGTACCTACGTGTATTATAGTACGGAAAACTGTGACATTTCCAGGTTATTTTATACTGTCGTGTGCTCATTAAACGGAAGAATATTCTAAAACAACGTCGTCCGTTCTATATCGGTTCATTATAATAATATTAATATTATGACTGGTGCCGCGAGGATGATTCAAATGCTGCCCTTGTGCGGTTTGCTCGTGTTCCAGTTTTTATCCTGTAATTTCGTTTTTCTTATAATCTATTATTTACAAATCTCGGATTCGTGTTCGTTTATCCCGAACAAGCTCGGACTTAAATTTTTTACTTAAAATTGTTATTATTATTATTATAATATAACAAAAATATAATATAGTCTGCGTATAATATTGTTTACAGACCGACTGACCACCGCTGAACCTGCTACCAACACGACTCTCGATGTCACCGCAGTTGAATACAATTTTTTTGACCACAAGTAATGATTAAAAAATACACAGTTATTATAATATTACACGAAAGCGATATTGAAAATTTATTTAGATTTGTGCTGTCCGTTATAACTCTGTAGTCCGTAGCTTGAGCTTCCGAATCCAACGAATAATAATATATTAAATTGAGTTGTCGGTGCTAAGACATAATACAATTATTATATATATCCCCCCCCCCAAAAAAAAAATTAACGATGGGACATTTTGTGTTATGCACACAAATAACACTTTGTCTGGTAGAATTAGAACGATTTCATAACTTCGTAGAGCCCATCTATATTACTTGTCGATAAACAGTTAATTATTTATGGACAAACTATATTTTATAATTATAATTATTATGATTATTGTTTAAATATGGATTTTATTGATATAAATACGCTAGCTTACGACATGACGTAATATGATTATTGTGTTGTATAATATTGTTATAGCTATCACTTGATGGACGAAAATAACTTGACGATTTCGGGCAACAAATCATTGATTGTGTTTGTGCATGGATTTAGATCAAGTCCCCGGACTGGCGTTGTAGCAGATTTGGGAAAATGTAAATCGATGTTTTTATTTTCAAATGTATTATTTAAATCCTAAAATAAATATTATCACAATAATCCACATCTAGATTAAGAAAACTATTATTTGTTCTTATTAATACAAAACTTTTACGGTTTGTAATTGTTTTTTTTCAATTCAGGTCTTAAATTACTTTTTTTTCGAATGTCCATCTGCCGAACTCAACAGAAAAACGAAAAAAAAACTATTCCGTTTCCCTATACGGTTTTCGATGAATTGTTTTTTCTTTTTTTACAACAAATTTAAACATTCAATGGTACAATAGATTTACCAGTGTGCAGAAAAACGTTAATATAAATTGAGGTTTTCTTGTTATATATTGTTTTCGAATGAAATCGATGTGCCAAGTATAAAGTTATATCGGTATGATGGTTGTATATACCACTTTTAGTAACTCGTATACCTATCCTGACCTCATAATTACATGTGTAATAACTATTAAACTGTCAAAAATTAGACTATTATGCTGTATTGTATTAGCAATTAAAACATTCTGTAGTGTCTGTTTTCGACAAGATTAAATGCTGTAAAAACTTAATTTAGTGGGTACCTACACATTAGAATTGAAGATTTAATACAACTTGTATTTTTATATATAATATCGGTAATATACGATTGAGAACGGCATTTTCGGTAACACGATTGAGAACGCTCGAAATTTTATTTATTTTTTTGTAACGTTGCCAAATTTAATCGAATGATAATTTGAACACCATAATTAGTTTATACCTATTGAAATAATCCAAAATATATTATGTTTTTATTAACATTTTAATTGAAACTCGATCAGAAACAATATTGAAAAGAGCTACGATAGTTATATAGAGTCAATGTACTAAGAATAATTTATATTTTTATGCCTTAGGTTGAGTAGATTTGGGGGCCTAGATGATCTGAAAATTTTAGTAATTACTAATGATCTACAAATATAAATAATTTGTAAAAATGAATGAAGTATAACAAATACTACCTGCATATAATATTACATATAGTTTATATTTTTGTAAAACCATATTTAATATCCTTAGTATGAATATTTTCATAACTCAGAAAGTAGAAACTAATTATTAGAATTTTGATTTAGATTCTTCAACATTTTCAAGAGAATCACTCTCAAAATAATTTAGAGTAAAAAATGGAGATTTTCATTTGAAAAATTGAAGTTTGTATCGCCAAAGGACATTTCTAGAGTATTATAAAATGATCTGGAATTGAAAATATGGTCTTCAGGTATACTTATAAAATCAGAATTTGAATAAAATTATTGTTAAAGGGATAAATGGAGGTGAGCATGTTTAAAAGATCGTTCTGTGTATTACATATTTTTATAATTATTTATAATTATAATTATTAATTGATGCCTTTTTTCAAGAATATTTATTTTTTGCATACGGGCATTAATCTTTCAATAGCCAAATAAATGATATGGCAACGTTGCATGTAAATTCGTTCTGAATCGTATTCTTTTTTGGGTAATTTTTGGGTCAGCAGTAAGTTCTTTGTTAATTTTAAGTGTTCTTAATCGTTCGGCCAAAAACGTACAACGTTCTCAATCATTGGATAGCCTATAATAATTTATATAGGTAGTAATATGTGTTTAAAATATATTCGAGTGTTTACTAAAACCTCAGTAACATGCAAAACTAACGACAAGCCTAATATTCATACGTATTATTAATTATTGCGTTCAATCAGGACTGAGACTTATATAGACAATGAGTTTGTTTCTAATAACCTAGCAATTTTTATCACAATAGCATCTGCTTCAGCCTTAAGACTGACATTAATAATAAAACTTAGAAATCAAAAGTACAATAATTCAATAATTCGGTGGATTTTGTTAACAATTAGATTTTAAATAGATAATAATAATGAGCCTATTAGGTCGATAAGCGAGAAACAATGTTCAGTATTGTACCTACTAAATTTTAAAGTGACATAGGCATATTTCTCATTTAATGATGTCAATCAAAATACAGTAAATTATTAAAAATTATTATACTTCTTAGTTCAAAATATAATTAATCTGTTAAAATTAATCAGTAGATAATTATGAGTAATACCATTCATATTGATACGTATATTGTCATTTTATTTTTAATCCGATCGATATAGCAAAATATACAAAACATGATTTTCACAACACCTAACTTTTTGCAGTAACTGCACTTGTCACTATTAAGATGGCCGAATAGAACTTTATGGTCAAATACTTATCCACATTTTCAGTACTCAGTACATATACCGACATAATCATATTTTATATTTTGCACAATATAATATAATATATTGAACACATACTTGACACACAATTTCACCATTGGATATTATGAGTTTGACATTTGCGTTTAAGATATTATATTAGCTATTTTCAATGAAACGGACAAGGTACAATAGTCATTATTTTTCCATGTTGTAAAAATTTTACGATTCCGTCGGTATTGGCACAATCCGTTTAGAAATATTAAAACCTTTTTGTCTATATTGTTATGTTGCATTGTCACTCATATTTTCACTCATTATATATAGGTACCCATGAATTTTCATTTAAATTGTTTGTTTTTTATTATCATTAATACCGAGTCCCATGCATTCTCTTAGAGTCTAAGACTTAGACCTATGCATTATACATAATATCACATTAATACTTAATTTCTTAGAAATATATACCATTAAATACCAGAAAAATATGAGTTATTATAGTTTTAATAACGAACAAGAATGCTTTTAATGAATAACGGCGTGTATTATACCCATTGTGTTGTAAACTTATAATATTATCATAAATAGCAAAATGGAAACATGTTATTACAATTCCCGTACTTTTGGCAAAAGTCTTTTAAGCGTATACATGACTATTATATTTTTTATTTTTACCAATTATGTCAAGAATCTATTATAACTACCTAAATACCTAGTGTGATAATGTCAAATAAAATAAAATCATCATTTGTACGGATGGCAAGGCATTTAACAAGAGTAAAATTCATTTTTAAATTATTTGACACGAAAAATACAAATAAACATGTTGATTTAGGTTTTATTATACTTACAATTGTCCCTTTGAAAACTTTAAGTGATTGATTGCCAATTAACCCAAACAATGCGTCAATTATTATGAAATGCTCATCGATTTCTTAACGAATTCTTAAACTTACTTGTGTAAACATTTCAAAAAAATGCTCTGGTTATTCATGAGTACCTACATATTACTATCAACACCAGAATTTGAGTAATTTAGATGATATTTACACGATGGCATAAAATAATGTATGTATTTTGTATTGTGAAATACGTTGACCGATTTTTTTTCTGTAATTTTATCCGTACTTACTGCTGTCAAAATAAAATGTGCAGGGTTGCAATTGTATAATTTATAATAGCAGGTACTAGGCGTATACCTTTATGATTAATGTGTGTAGTGATATATATTTATTTATTTTTTATCGACAAAAACGAACGTTTGACTAAAATGTATATTTACTTATGTAGCGCTGGTGCAGAATACGGACTCCAATGTGGTTTTAGTCGATTGGTCAAAGTGGACCCAGAAATTGGATTACGTGGATGTGGTATTTCGATTACCGACAGTTGCTACCTATCTGGTCGACTGGTTGTACAGTTTGCGTGACCGCGGTATCGTACAGAGCTTTGACGATGTCACATTGATCGGCCATAGTTTGGGGGCTCATTTGATTGGTTACACAGGCCACAGGTTGAACGGGACAATCAAGAGAGTTATAGGTACGTATGGTATTTTCGAAATTTGGTCACGATTGTACAGGCTGTAATTAATATTGCGCACAGCCGTCGTCCAACTATAATACGTTCGCTCGAAATCGATACCTTATGTGTATATTATATTATATCGATGTGGAAACCGAGTAATGTTTTAATTTACATTGTCTAGTGTGTACATGTAGAGAGCTTAATTATTATACAGACAAAAAGAGATTTATTTACCCCCCCCCCCCCTCACGTATTTAGCACCTACCTAATGTTACTATCGAGCCACTTATTAGGTAGTCACATTATGTTTCTTTTTAAACCATTTAAATTTAATTACTTCGAGACTCATACTGTTATACGGGATTTAAAATATAAAAAGAAAAACATTTTTTAGATTAAAACATAAGTAAGTACTTAGTACCTACTCTAAAAATCTGATTACTCATCATTTAAATATGACTTTAAACAAGTAAAATTTAAAAGAAATGTTTAATACTGTCTATAAGATGGGATTTTTCTCAACAATTTTTTAACATTGAAAAATCATACACTCAATAAAATACCAAAACATACATTAATTTTAGCTTTTATTAGTACACACTATGTACCTGCATTTAATAAAACCACCGATTTTTTAACCTAGTACCTATATAAATACATTTCTAAAACGGTCTTTGATAAGAATCATTAAGACGTTATTAAAATATTAGAATATTTAATATATTTTAAGTGTGTTCAGTTTAAATTCACGAATGTAGCCTATGTACTATTAGGTAGGTATTCTTTTTAGATCGATACATCGAATTGGTAATTATCAAATTGATTTACTTTTTTGAGTACCTTCCTACTACGGAATTGTAGTTATTTTAGCTATTTAATACAAAAAAAATAGTTTTTATATTAGTATATTATCGAGATCTAACTCTATTGAAAAGTTGGATATTTTAACTAATCTGGATTTGGCAACTAAATTGATGAAGACAAATGTAATGCAAATAAAAAAAATGTTTTCATTTAATAAAAATATTTATCATGGCCAATGGCCGTATAATATAATGAGAAAATGAGTTAAACTAGGTTGATATATTTATGTCTATAATTAATATACCCATATATATGAGCACATGACAATAGCTTTTGGTCAATTACTCATTTTTAATACATTCCATTTAAAGCTTTATAAACAAATCATAAACAATAACTCACACCAAAAATGTTGTTTGGCCAACAATAATAATAATATATCTATACAATACAATGTAATATTAAGTCAAGTTCAATAATATAATATATAATTCAAATCTACTATTGTAAATAGTTTTTTCTTTTTTCTTTTTTTTTTTATTGAACAAAAATTTTATTTACAATCTGTAATTACATGTAATACAATGAGTAAATGGGATGTGGATTGATTAGGGGGAGGGGGAAGTCACCCAATGGTGGCACCCAGCTTGTAAATAGTTATTGTTAAAAACCTTTCTGATAATATTATTATTAATTGTAAAATATTAACTGTAAAATAATATATAGTATCGTTAGTTATAAAAATTAATTGTTTTTATTCAAGCATTTTAACATACGATTTAGCTTCTACCCATTTCTATTTTTTTTTTTTTTGTACAATCATACAAAATATATGCCACATCCACTTGGCAATGTAGCACTTAAAGTGATCACTTCATGAAATATATTCACATCAATGAAATCATATTTTTAAAGTATCGTTTTTTTTTTTTTTTGTTAACTTAGTGAAATGGATAGCTATTTTTTACACTTACGGGGAGATGAAGAATGTTGAAAATTGATATTAATTGTTTTATTTTTTTTAACTTACTTAAAACTATATATAGATATTTTAAACCATATTATATTATAATACCATCAAAAACTTTTCGCTTTGTGTGTACATTTTTGTTATTTCACAAAGTGTACAAAATAAGTATCCATCTCATGAAGTTGATAAAAATTACTTTATTTCACGAAAAAATTGAATTTTTGCAAAATAACAGTGGTTAATTTAATCTGTTGTAGCATAGTGTTTTTGACATTTTTTTTATTTATTTTAAAGTTGATAATTACTAATCAAATATCAAAGTATACTCAAAATACTACAAAACCCCATCGTATAGAATTCCATTTATCTAATCCAAACTATAAATATGCTGAGATAATAATTAAACGTATTGGTTTAGTGTTAATATTAATAAATGTACAAAAAAACATTTCAAAGAAATATTTCTGTTTAGAAAATATAAAAATAACTTTTGACACTAAAGGTAATAAAACCAAAATATAAATATTAAATGATAACAGTTTCGTATAGACTTTATGTTGAGTAATTCGAGTGGTAAAAAAAACATTTACATATTATTTTTCTTTTGACCACCGCGAGAAATGGGTGTTTTAGTGTTGATATTAATAAACTTACAAAAAACCATTTCAAAGAAATATTACCGTTTAGGAAATACAATTAGTACAATATAAAAATAACTTTTGACAATAAAGGTAATAAAACCTAAATATAAATATTAAATGATAACAGTTTCGTATAGACTTTGTGTTGAGTAATTCGAGTGGTAAAAAAAAAACATTTACATATTATTTTTCCTTTGACCTTCTCGAGAAATGGGTGTCTTACAATGCATAAATTACTTTATACACCTACAAATACACAAAAGGCATTCCTTTGATTCCCGACCTGTGTAGGTTATGAGGTGTGAAGCGAGCAGAGTGCATGCCGCCGTTGTATTTTTCGCTAAAATGTCGTTTCGAAGGTTGCACAGCGATGGCATCGAAAGACCATTTAATTACACGACACGCTATTGTCTTGACTAATCTGACATTGGTATTACTCCCACTTTTGCTGTTACTACTAATACGATTAATACTACTTTAGTACTGGCGGTACTAGAAATGTTACAACTAAACTTTAACTTCAACAACGGCTGCAGCTGCTATCGTTTATTGTAGGTACATAGTATATAGTAAAGTCGACGTGTGCACCAAATTCTTGTTAATATTCTGTGTGAATAAAATACAAGGAATCTTTAAATTCTAAGGACAATAATTAATGCCTACGCCAATGTCTGCTAATAAAATACCTGCTAATCATGGACAGAATGTAAACTTTAAGATTTAAAACGAATAGAAATTAATTTAAAAATTAATTGTATTTCTTAAGATATTGCCCGGTCAAAGGCAAATTGATCATTTATTTGTATTTAAATATATATATATATAATGTAACGTATACACGATGGATACCAGTGAGGACTTTCTCGAATGTTTCACTGCCGCTGGCGATCATCGTTGTAAATTGCGATCTCTCAAAATTAAACAACGTAAAGGGCGAAAAATATATAAGAGAGAAAAAACACCGCGTTTAGAACGAATCCACCGGAAAGTGCGAAAGCGTTCATACCAAGGTTCAGACTTACGGTTCAAATCACCTTGGGACTTCAAATAAAAGCGTGAAAAGCGTGAAAAGCGTCTACGCCCCCTTCGCTAACCGGTAGTCGTACATGGCCATATCACCCACCACATTAGGATAATATTAATATATTAACTAAATACCTATCATATATTATGAATCCATATACTTACACAGATGGTTATCTATTTGAATGGTTAAAATGCCAGATACGACTTTTGAGTTTTTGCAAAAAAAAATTTAGTTTGAAGTTTATACGATTGTAGCCTATTATGAATATAACACCAAGCTAAAAAAAGATAGGTCATAATATTATACGGTTTTTGAATAATTTTTTTTAAAAATTACACTGGTTATATTTTTAATTTTTAAATCACAGAACCAGAATATCATTACACTATGTACTATGTATACAATTTTTTTTTTCAAAAATATGCACACATTAAATTAGAAAACGAGTGTGGCAATTTAAATACCAATCACTCTGTATAATATGCAATGTATGTGAGTCGTGTACTCGGGTCGGCGGGAGTGTGCTGAAAGCGTTTTTTACCTCGCGAATTCATACGTCTTAGAGACACTCTCTGAAACGTATAACAAAACGTAATAAAACCTAACATCTCGTACTCTCGTTAAGTACACATCCTCCACGACGGTGTCAAAATTAAATTCGACACGTTGTTTTCTAACGCTAATATAACATTGTCTACAAAGTGGTGTTATTATAATATTATAATACAATTTGTATATATTATTATTATTATACCGCACGGTCGCTTTACAAGGATCAACTAGCGTCGACGATGAAATCGAATTTCATAACACAACGACATACATACCTACGTAGTATTATAACCACACGAAAAATAATAGGAGCAATTAGGGAGAACCAATGTAGTAGGAGCTGGATAGGCAGCGGCGTCTTCAGGTCAATGCCATGTGGGGGGGGGGCGAAAAAATTTTACACTTAAGTACCACTTTGGATATAAAATATTTAAACCTATATGTTTGATGTAATATCGTACAAAAACAGAAAATTACACGTCTTACGGGGAGGGTGATCCCCCCTAAGGGACGCGCCTGGGGGTAGGGTACTAAAATTGTGTAACTATTAGAGAGTTAATTCCGGGGTGCCACCATTGGGTGACTTTCCCCTTCCACTAATCATCCCCCTTCCATTTACTTATTGTAACACATGCAATTATAGATTGTAAATAACATTTTTTGTTCAATAAATAAAAAAAAAATAAAAAAAAATTAATTTGAGAGTGGTTTTTTTTTAGGGGAGGTACTTAATGGAAATTTGAAGTGTCACTGGCCCTCAATTTTTAATTATAGGTATAGGTTTCATATTATATTGAGTCTGTTATGATCGTGCTGCTTACTTTTTTATGGTTGTATAGATTGGTTTCATCAAGAAGCATTTAATATTATCAAGACGACCCTATACTCCGACGAGTAATAGATTCGCATAATCTTTTAAATATTATTTGTTTTATTACATTTTATGGATTTTCCTTGTAGAGTTCATTGTAGGCACATCGCACATGCTTTATAAACGGTTTAATTTTTTTGATTTCAAAATAGTAGTTACCTTACCATACGAATATGTTTTATATTTCTAAATAGAAATCCGTATTTTTTCTACACATATTCATCTTTATAATTTATACTATCTATACTTTTTGCTATTTTTGTTTTTCTATGAGTTTCAGCCATATTCAAATTATTTTTAGACGATAAGATAGATGTTTACCGTGGTCTTCAGACTGAATTTGGTTGTATTAATTACTACACATATTTTTATCGATAAAGACTACCTATCAGGGAAGAATTTATATACTTGACCTTTTTATTACCCGATATTTTCAGCCGGTATTTATATTCATAAAGCCATAAAGGTAATATCGGGCGAGTTTATATTTGCCCATACAACATTTCCTAAATTCTTTTGAAATATTCAAATCATTATCAAAATATAATAAACTAAAATTAATAAATTCAACACATGCCGTACATAAAATATATTTATTGAATTTAGCCATGTACAGCCTTGGGTTCTTTATTCTAATGTGTGTCGATTTTAAACCACACCCAACGAAATTAATATTATACTTGGTAATATTATAAGAGTGAAATATATTTTTTGAAAAACTACCCAATCGTGCATATAATATTTTGTATGGATCCAAAATATTAAAAACGTATGTGCATTGGTTTTAAAACAGTTGACATATTTCAAATGGCTTTGGAAATATTTTTTTAGTATGGTGTTTAATAATTTAGTAGCTGATGATTTTTATTCAATGATTCTATTTATTCAAGTATTTACTCATTTGTTTTTTGCTTAATTCGAAATAATCGACTAAATATTATAAGGTCAATCAAGTTGAAATTAGGTAATAATACAGTTAAAAAAAAATATAAGTATCTATTTTTTATTCAGTTTATTAAAATTTTATATTTTTTTTTGTTGATAATTTAATTCGGTAATAAACCAAATGGATGTAAGTCATATTCGATTTTACAATAGTATTCACAAAACTTGACTTTATATTTTGTGTTATATTTATTTGATGATTGGATAGTAGACTGACATTTTTCATCGTCTGTTTTGTAATAATTCCTCCTGAAAAAAGGTAAGTACAAAAAAAAAAGTAGGAGTGAAATGTCTTAAAACATTAATCAAGAATAATTCGCGTGTCATTACTCATTGGTTTTCTATTTCTTAAAATTGGATTTGAAATGATGTTTGACAAATCGAATACATATTTGACAAATTTAATGTCAATCCATTAAATACCTACACACCATATAAATCATATCATGTGAAATGTATTTGACATAGTTAAAGAGACGCAAGTCGTTTCTGAAATGCATTTAATTTAAAACTGAAGGAGAAAACATATTTTATTTAGACGCTCGTGCGGATCTCACCCTTACGGTTCTCAACACAATATAACATTATTAATGTGGTTGTTTCGTACAACTGTAAGAAGGTTTTCGGTACTGGGTGCCTGGTGGGGAATTGGCTAAAATAATTAAGGGATATCGAACAATAAGTATTAAAATACACCCACTCATAAAGCTGATAGTTGTTGTGCAAATATAATACATTGTAAGAACATGTAACAAAAAAATCAAATTTATATTTTTAATTGTTCGTATTATTAATATATTCAGACCTACCCATAATCACCCACCGAGTGACGCGGGTGAGCCACCACTGAGGTAGGAACTATAATACTTCATCATACAACAATATCACTTTAAACTGCAATTTTCGTCGGTTTAATAACACCTATTATTACCCTTATTCAGTACTCGATTATTCTACTTATTATAATAGTATATCGATGTTAATATAGACTAGTATTAGAACAGAACACTCGGCTTCGTTAAAATTACATCCCAAAACTCTTTTACACACGTGATCTGTATATACTGTATATATACTATATTAATTATTATAGTTGAACACGACAGTGTTCTGTTAGAAGATTCATTGTATCTGATTTTGCCAACACGTTTTATACTTATAAAGTACTCATACTCAGAGTACACTTAAAATACCTAATACAATGTTTTTATTTTAACTTAGGCAACAAAAATCAAACTTATTTTATAGGTTAAGTTGATTTAGAATACGTTACTCCGGACTAGATAGTATATTATTATAATTTTGTTTAGGAGATGAAGGGGAAAAAACGTTTGGTTATTTTTGACATTGAAAACTGCAGGGACTATGAATTTAATTTTCTCTAGAAATTCAGGGCAATAAATTTCGCTTATTATTGGTTTGGAGACTAATGCAACCTCCAAATACAAACGTCGTTGTTGTAGGGTGTTGAAACCCCAATGTTATAAAAACTGTCACTAAAGACTGACCGGCTATTTCCAACTTAAAGGCTATTACTCTCAAAAACCTCATCTGTACACCCTATAGTTTTTACTTGGGTAGGATTCCATACATTGTATCAAAATTCAATTATTGACTTAACGAGAGAGGTCACCAGGCATCTAATTTTAGTAAATATTAAAATAATATTTTGTGATTCAAAACGTTTTGATGTTAATAATATTATATAATATTATGTGTTCGCTGCATATTTTTTGCTTGGATGTGCATTACACATAAGTAATAATTAAAAATAACATACAGCGGTTTGGATACGATATTTTTCCTGGAAGGAGGGAGGAGAGATTATATTCTATATTTTATTTATAACTTTCAAAAATAATTATAAGTGTATTTTTATAATTAATTAAAATTAAATAACAATATTGTTTCTATTATAACGACTTCATTATGGGTAAAATAATTTTTCGATTCTTCCTTGGGGGTTGGGTTTAATTTTTTTTTATACATAAGCTTGGATTATTTTTCATTTTTAAAAGTGTATCGTCACTTTAAATATAGCTTTACTAACATCATGATTTATATGTTAAACAGGTACCAACAATTCTAGACAATATCCTCAGATATAAGAGAAAAAAAACAATGAAATAAACGCCAATTTTACCGATTATTTCAATATCATGTTCTATTTTAATTATGATAAGAATACCGTTTTGGTTTATTTTAGTGGGGGAAGAGGGGCCCCACAGGTGGGTTCAAAACGTTCAAACTCTTCTCCGCAACTACGCCACTGATAATAAGTAAAGATTGCACATAGATTACCTTTGTATTTCATGGAACAGAACAGTAAACACAAGTAAATAGCTGATAATAATATATATATATATAGATTCAAAATTATTCAAGTATATCAGCCTAGGTAATATGTATTTTAAACTAAACTAAATCTGTAACATTCAATGGTTTTCGCGGTGTTCAGGTTTTTAGTGTAAAAACAATACAAACCAGTGAAGTATTCGCGTCGTGTGAATAATGTTTTCAATTACTTTTATGTAGTTTTTGCTTTCATGTTATTTGGGGGGAGGGGGGAGGAGCTTTGAGTTTGCCATGTATACCGGTAACGTATTCACAGCTTACACAAGTGGTTTCGACGTGGATTTGGTAAGGCTTTTATTTT